GAAGATCATCTAGATTTGAACTAAAGATGGCATTGCCAAGATCGACAAGATTTCACTTGTCACAATTCACAGCTATCAAGCAAGTCTCATATCCTCTCGCTTCCTTATAACAAAAAACATTCCAATTAACGCGTCTTAACTAGGCTTCTTCTAAGTTCTAGATAAGGCTAAGACAGAAGATTAACAAAAACAGTTGAAATAATATGCTGCCATGTAGTACAATAAACATCGCGATGGGAGTGACGATCCATGGCATTGATAGATCCGGCCACAACATGCACGCACGCATAATAAAATCACGACGCTGACACCTTGTGTGGCCGTCCCAAATGCTGGTAAACAAACAACCAAGCTGTGCGTGCCCCACCTCCCAAGTGCTGGACAAGCCAGATCATCGCATCGCCGGTCGTGCCTAGCGATCCAGCCCATGGCACGTCCCAATCAGTGACCGTTTTTCTGTGTCGGGGTGGCCTCTCGCACACTGGCATATCGTGTCAGTCCAGCCTGGGCCAAGCGGCAGCACAGCACACAGCACAGCAGCATGATTACACAGAGAGGGAGAGGGGGCCAAGGCAAGGGCAGTTCGGGAAATTCGCGGCGCGGCGTTAACGGGGGAGGGGAGGGGCGTGGACGGCGGAACGGAGCGGTCGGGGCGTATAAATCCCGGTAAAATTCCCCCGACGCGAGGCCTCAAATCGCTCCCTGCCTCCGGTCACCGGTCGCCTCTCCTCCCTTCCACTCCCCTCCCTGCCTAATCCCTCCTCCGGCCACCCCGACCACCGTTCGTTCGTTCGCTCGCTCGCTCCCCGCTAGAAGAGACAAGCCCGCGGAGACCATGGCGGACCAGCTCACCGACGACCAGATCGCCGAGTTCAAGGAGGCCTTCAGCCTCTTCGACAAGGACGGCGACGGTAAGCTGTTACGCCTCCCTTCGATGCCTCCAGCATCTCCTTCCTCCGTTCCTTAGCTGTAGTTATTACTGCCTTGATCTGTATCTATCATGTTGTAGGCTCTCTTAGTTGTAGCTGCCCGAATACCTTGACTGTTCTTCACCTCACGTTAGAAACCCAGGGATCCCGGTTCCGCATACCTGTTCGTGGCCGTTGTCGGTGCGAGTCCAAAATTTAGGCCGCATAGAGCATCAGGCAGCGAGATTGTACCAAGCGGTGAAACTTTAGAGATGGTGTGATGCGGCGGCACGTCCCCGCTGCACGGCGGCTCGTGGGTGGGGAGATCTCGTGTGATTGAGTCTGCGAAAAAGCGCCGCTGCGATCTAGATCGACGTGGTTGCTCGTGGCCTCGTCTCCGATCCAGATGTGGTGAAGCGGTTAGGCTGAGATCAGGCCCCTTGCTGGTCCATGTGGACCGAGTCAGGATGGGGTCGTTTTATTTATAGGCAGTAGGTAGGCTTCAATCCAGATCGTTCGGTTATGTCGGGGTTGGTTTTGTCATGGCAGGCAGGAGGGGGCACATGAGACTTCTGTATGGTTTGAATTGACACTGCAGCACCTTTGACTGACATTATGTGCTCTTGTATCTATGAGCTGGAAATTGTTACAGGGCAGAATTAACCGTGGAAGAATTTTTTCGTCTGGTTAATAGTGTAGGTTGGGGCAAGTATTTTCAAGGATCTGATAGCAGCGGAGAAAAAAAATTATTCAGATTTTGTATAGACCTGACAGTGGCACCGGGCCTGCTCAGATTTTGATTGATGTTCTGGGTTCATGATTATAACTCCATGGTTTGGGAACATGGGTGTAGCCAGCGGTAGTAAAGCGTGGTTGCCAGCTGCTGCTGGTCATCATGTTGCAGGGGAGTGCAGCTTGGAGGTCCTGGCTGCTTCTGTGGTGCTGCCCTGTGATGCCTGGCTGCCTTTGCACTGTCCAGGTTGCCTATGGCGCCGGCCCAAGTTAATGATTGACCTGGGGTGAAGCCAGAGTTCGTAGCTTTTCTTAACCAACATTGGTTGAGGTTTCACCCATATCCACACGCAATGCTCAGGGGAGGCTTTCCCAAGTGGTTTGACTTGGCGATGATTAATTGTTTATAATATCGCCATGTTCTTGATGTGATGATTGTGATCTTGTATTTTAGATTGTATGCATGGTGCTCAGTTTTTTAGGTATGAAGTACGACTGCAGTGTTTCCATTTAGTAAGGATTGGTTTCTAATATCAAGACAATCCTGCTTAGCTTACTGGATGGCTAATGATAGGCATAGGAAGGTACCACAACCCAAATTATCTCGGGAGTTAAAGTTACCAAGTTTTAGTACTAAAATTTTGATACATCCCTAGTTATACTTTGGTGGTACCTCCCTAGTAGCTTAAAGGCTCTTAGTCACAGACTCAGGATCATCTCTTACCTTTCTGACCATCAACCTTCTAAACCATTTGCTACATCTATGCACCTCAATTTTGAATTAGTGTTGTCCTTTTGTGAACCAGATGTTTATCACTTCTGGCATTCTTGCTTAATGTCTAGTTTACTTGTGCTATTGCTTTGAAAAACTGTGGTAACTTCTCAGGTGGTTAATCATTTCACTTCTCATTGCTATGTTAATGTTATATATAAATTGACATGAAATTGCTCTCTGCTGTGCACTGGACAGGTTGCATCACAACCAAGGAGCTCGGAACTGTCATGCGTTCACTGGGTCAGAACCCAACCGAGGCTGAGCTCCAGGACATGATCAACGAGGTCGATGCCGATGGCAATGGAACCATCGACTTCCCTGAGTTCCTCAACCTCATGGCCCGCAAGATGAAGGACACCGACTCCGAGGAGGAGCTCAAGGAGGCGTTCAGGGTGTTCGACAAGGACCAGAACGGCTTCATCTCTGCCGCGGAGCTCCGCCACGTGATGACCAACCTTGGCGAGAAGCTGACCGACGAGGAGGTCGATGAGATGATCCGTGAAGCCGACGTCGACGGTGATGGCCAGATCAACTACGAGGAATTCGTCAAGGTCATGATGGCCAAGTGAGTATAAGCCTGCGGTAATCGTATACTACCCCGCGCCGGAAGGAGGAAACCGTGCATTACATATTAGTAAGGCAATGCAGCTCTTGTTTCCTTCGTCTTCCCATGAAGAAACCGTACTAGCTGTAGCTCTGAAACATTTGAGTCCCTCTGCTGCCACCCTTATCTCCGTTGTGTCGTTGAACCTCCTTGCCCCCGCCCTGTGTGAATCTGTACGCCTTTTTGTGTTCTGGACACTGATTGCAGTTGAATCCAGTTTGTAGTTCTATTTGTTCATCGAATCTGCCCGACTCCTTTGGTACCATGAACAGGAAATTGCTTTCCGTTTATCCTGTGGTCGTGCAGGCAGTTGCTTTCTGTTTATCCTGTGGTTGTGCTGTCAGAATGGTGCCTGCTCTGCAAAGAAATGGCATGTTGTTGAATGTTGAAGGACCATTCAGAGATACGGATGGATGGTCGCCTGTGTAGCGTCTGACGATCCCAGACATGTTTTCTGGATGGCTCATGCAACCTTCGTTAAGCTACAGAACTGCAATTGCCACTGCACTTGATGAGTCTGGCCGCACCAGCCTAGACCTCAGGTCCGTCATCATGGATTGGGCTCGCAGAGAGGGAGAGACGAGCAGCTGCGGACGCTGGGCAGATCCCCCCTCTAGTGCGAGTGCGATCGAGTGACTCGAGCCGTCTGCCGCGTGCTGGAACCCCATTCATCATCCAGTGGCGGCACGTCGCCTGGAGGCCGCGGCGGCCCGCCGGCCGGGAGGCGGGACCTCGTGGATTGTGCACGTAACGGCGCCCGTCGCCGACTGGGATTTCTCTGCACATGGCTGCGGCATGCTTCAGTCTTTCAGCTCTGGCTTCAGATCGAGGTAGCTACTCTCGAAAATTCGCCATTCCATTGTTCAAACTACTGCAGATTTTCAGTATTGCCTTTGGTAACCGCCGCCATTTCTCCGCACAGTGGCGGAACTAAAATTTTGTAGTTGGATACTTCTTCTGAACTTTGGCTGAAACTGGCTGAAAAACACGGTTCCGGCTGAATTGTTGTAAGAGAAAAACACTGTTCCGACTGAAAAAACAAGCCGAACAAGCCAAATTTAAGACAAGCGAACGGGGCACGTGTCACCGACTAGCCGAGTGTAGTAGAGAAATAGTGCAGAGATTAGAGTGACTGACCAACATCAGAAGTCGACATTAGACTCTAGCCTTTTCTTCTTTTTAATGGATTCATCTATCTAGCTCATTGATTTGCTAGACTAATTAAGAAAGGTAAACAATTTGCTCTCACTTAAGTTATACATATACATCTGTGTCATATGTACTATATACCTACTCCACTGACAAAAAGTATTCCCGGCTAGGTCGGCCCCTGCTCCATCGTAAACAAGTTTTTAAGATCTTGACAAAGAACCATTCGTGTCATCTCTATTGTGCCATGATGCTAACTAATCATTTGAGCACTAATAAGCATCTGGTTCAGTAGACATCCCCAAAATTCGCTGCGTCACAGGACACCACGGAACCAGCCTGAATCCTCCCCTGCGAGCACTCAACATCATGCACCTCACAAAGAGGACAAAAGATAAAGTGTATTCACCTCATACATCTAGAAGTAATGTTTATTCTGAAGTAACACATCATATCATAGAACAAATTGAAGGGGGCTAAGCCTGAAGCCATGAACTAACAACTGGTACTCCCTTACACCATCTGATGTAGCTCAATACCTCATTACTACACACTGCTACAACCTCTTTTTTTTTTTGAAACTCACTGCTACAGCCTTGATTGTGGTTTCCATTCCATCCAACTCCCTGACCGTAAAATAAACTAAACAACACGCCAATAAGCTCATCCACAACAGCCTTCAAGACGGTTGTTTCATCGGGCTTACTCGCCATCAACAAATGAACCAAAGAACTTGCTTGCAAAACCGACTCTGCAATGGACACGGATCATCCGAAAGAGAAGCTATGTACAAGGAAAGCCAGCGCCGTCCGGTGAAAGTTCAAAGGCCGCATCATGCTGCCGTGATGTTGCCGTCCACGTCACCATCGCACTTCCACACAACATCCTTCAGTTGGGTTGACAGACTTCTGTAGAACTGTTTTACAGTACGGTTAATTTGGGCATTAGTACAATGTGTCAATGTTAAAGCATACAGAGAACCTTCATGTGGCAGAATTAATAGAGACTGTACCTTTTGGAATTCCAGAGTATCCCCCTTTGCCTTCTTGAGCTCAACTACATGTAGGGATGGGGCTATTTGAAAAACCTAAGAGTTGCATGCACAAACAAAAAGGAATTGAATTATTCTTCTTCGATGCTTCAGCAATCTAGATTTTGTTAACTTGATGTTTTCACCTACCTCAGTTGCAACATTTAGATTGCCTTTTCTACCTGCTTTCGGGTTCTCCATCCGCATCTGGAAAGAACAAACACAGCCTTATTAGGATCTGAAGTGTGGAAGATGGTAGTAGTAGTAGTTCTTTTTTCTAGATATTCATGCCAAATTTTACAACATAAGTAGAAAGTAACAAGAGGAATATTGTACATAACAAAGTTCAGTAGGAAATACTTTGTATTTTTTCTTCTGAACATCAAAGCCAAGCGGCTTTGCAGCTTCTTCAATCTTTGTGATTATCTCTTTAGGGGGACACTGTGAGGTGAATCTTGTCTCTCTTTTATACTCCTGCTATTTTTAACCAGAAATAAGATCATTGTAGATTTGAACTTTCTACAGTATATTTCAAACAACAATAATTTAATAAAATTTAGAAACCTAAAATTGGCAAAGAAGACAGGAGAACTATGACTGACCTCCTTTGCTTTAAACAAATTCTCCAGATTCAGTGCCTGGTTTAGTGAAATCAGTTCAAATGCATTCATTGAGGTTGGCTGATCTTCAGTTTCCTCTTTCACATGCTGGTCCTGGTAAACAAATCAATAAAGCACAGTTACTCACTTAATTTCTACGACAGAAGGCTAAATATTTATTGGTCCATTTGACTCACTTCTGAATCTCCAAAAGCAGCATCCACGTCATCCAAGCTAGTTTGATATTTCTCGTTAAAAACAGGAGGCTTGTACCCCTTTTTGAACCAAGGATCTTCCAGTATCTGAGAAATAGTGATCCTCTGGTAAACATCCAGAAACAATGAAAAGCCAGGTAAGTTGAGATTCAAGAAATACTTGTGGCAGTTGAATCTGAAATATTGATGTCAAGACACATCAATATATGCTTATATTTCATAGACAAATAGCACTTGTTCATCATTCTTAGATTACATGTATGCTTAGCGTATTCATGACCCATTTCAACAACTATGCTCAAAAGCTATATGATACTTACAGTTTTAGGATTGGGATCAAGAATTCTGGTAATCAGGTTCTTGGCTCCAGCCGAAAACCAAGAGGGGCAGCTAAACTGAGCTTCTGAAATCTGTGATTGCAAAGGGAGTATTAAGAGATGATCGATAAACAACCACAAAATAATGTTATTTTTTTCTTTCTATTTTCTCTACTTTTCATCAATGCTACCTTCTTGTATAGGGCGATGATGTTGTCATCCTCGAAAGGTAAATATCCAGCAAGAAGAACAAAGAGGATTACTCCACAAGACCAGACATCTGCAGTTGCACCATCATAGCCTCCATCCTCGATCACCTAGAAAGATCCAATACAAATATTAGTTAGGTAACCCTGTTTGCAATCAAAACACGGTTAATCTATAACAAGCAAAATAGAGAGAATTTACCTCCGGGGCAACATAATTGGGGGTTCCACATGTTGTATGAAGCAGACCATCAGCCTATAATAATATAAGATTAAATGAAGCCAACAAGAGAACATGATGCAATAACTACTTGTAGTTTATGAGAAGTAATTCCAACTTTACCTTCACTTGCTCAGTTAAAGCACTTAAACCAAAGTCAGAAACTTTGAGATTTCCATTACCATCAAGCAGCAAATTCTCTAGCTGAAATGAATGTTAAGCATAAATATGTCACTTGTCTGCACTACTGAGCCCATAATTTATTATAGATAAATCACAAAAAAAGTAAATTAGGCTTCACCTTCAAGTCTCTGTGATACACTCCCCTACTGTGGCAGTAATCAACGGCATTAATCAGTTGCTGGAAGTATTTGCGTGCTTCGTTCTCCTTCAACCTTCCATTAGTAGCCTGGTTGTCATGTTTTTGCATAAGAGCAGATTGAAATAATCAAAAACCAGTACATGATCATGTAATTCGTGTTACTAGTCTCATGTGACAAAGTGTTTCAAACAGATGATATAGTTCCACTTACAATGATTTCAAAAAGCTCTCCACCTGTAACATATTCCAGAACGATGAAAATTTTTGATTTACTGCCCATCACCTGGTGTAGAAAACAAAATTTCAGCCAAATAGTCTCAGAGCATAGGCATGAACAAAATATACATCATGAAGCGTGTATATTATTTTTTGGATCTTACCTCAAATAGTCGAACAACATTAGGATGAATTACTAATTTCATGGTACAAATTTCACGCTTGATCTGCATTGAATTTAGGATGGTATCAGCATGAGATATCAAGTATGCAGTACCAATCTGTTTAAAAGACGCATACAGCAAAAGGCACTCCTGAGGAGTATATTAGACAATACATGTATGCTTGCATCATGATTTTTTTTTGGGTAAATGAGATTATTTTTTTTGAGAACTTTATGGTTGTACTTTATAAGTAAAAGGAATAGTGAAGTCAACTAAAGTGTAACTGAGGAAATGGATGTCTAATAGGGTACTGATGAAAACATATACTGAAGTGTGCAAGCTGAAGTCAACTGGAAACAGTCAGGAATACTGAAGTATTCAATTTGCATAAAGTTCAGACTGTGACTGGAAACAGCACAAGGCACCAGGAGAACATACTGAATTGGTAGTATGACTTGAACTGGAAGACCACCATGTGAATATATCTCGATGTCATGCAAATATGTAGGCATAGAATCATTTCTTAATTGGGAGTTACATCTTCCTATGCTCCCATGCTGACACGGCAACATCCAAGGAAGAAAATTCATTCTCCACGTTGTTCCTTTTGATAGAAAGATGTAAGAGATGGCGGTGAATTTTGACAAAAGGAAACCACATGGTTCATCTATTGACTATTAGGAATGATGATATGATTGGTTGCATGGCAAACTGAACTTCTTACCATCTTCCAAAGTCATACACGGCTTAGATAGAGAGCATAAGACTTTTAACCTCAATATTTCTAATTAACTGAAGTTTGATCCATGCATCATGATATTGACAGAAAATGGGTAACAAGAAATTAGCTAGTGCATGGTCTCAGAAAGGAATTGACGGATACTGACCTGTTCAACCAATCTGTGCTTCTGAACTTTCTCCTTGTCAAAGATTTTGATAGCAACAGGTTCCTGGTTTTCAGTGTTCCTAGCAAACCGGACCTTTGCGAAGGTTCCTTCCCCAATGGTGCGTCCGAGCTCATACTTCCCAACACGGCGCTTCACCTTTGGTGACAATGCAGCTCTCTTAGCCCGATACATCTTCCAACAAAATGAAGGTTACTATGAACCTTCAAACTACTCTTCAAACACCTGCAATTGTTCAGCCGTTGCATTAGTTGTAAAATTTACCCATTCAAATTCACTAAGCTCTGGTTACCCTAAAAAAAAAGTTCATTAAGCTGTGGTTAGAAAAAGAAAAATAAAACACAGGAAAGGAGAGGGGAATGAGATGATATGTGGACGCACTTATATTATCTGGGTACACAGGAGTTTTTCCCTTTTCAAAAACCAAAAAAAAAACACACAGGAGTTTCTGATGGAAATTGTTGGGGGAAAAGTGAGGATAGAGCAGATGAGGATAGAGCAGAGCATTAGCGCTCAACAGATTTCAAAAAGAATTGAACAGAGGATAGAAAAAAAGATACGGAAATATTAAATGGCAGGCGGGTCATTGATTCAAATAAAAATTCAGGGAGTTAGAACTCAAACATCTAGGGCGGAGGATCCCTCTTGATTAATAAGATAAAAATTTCGATCCGTAACATTTGAGTAAACAAGCAGCAAAAGGGACAAGGGGAAAAGGCGCAAACTTATGTAAATACTATTTTTTTACCATCTCTCAAACACTAGCACACGAGATCAAAATGATAAAAAATGACCGGACAGCTTCAAACCAGAATGATTCAATCCAGTTTGACCAATATAAAAGGTACTCCTAGGTAAGACATGCGCCCACAGCAAGAGGGCCGCACAAAGAAGCCTACAGATGGTTCAGACTTTTGCAGTCAAAGCATTCATATCATAGCTGAAAAGCATAGAGGCAGCATGACCATGTATACAACAAATACAAGCCACATATGAAACAGCCACCACTTGCTGATTAACTGATACTAGTACGGATCAATCATAACCAAGACCGAGAAATTCAGCCCAAAAGGCGCTTTACAGATGTGCGTATGTATTGCTGAAAGAAACCAAGGAGAAAGAGCAAAAGGAGAGAAGAAGCTGGCGTGGAGGGAAAGGCCACAGAGGTGCTGGAAATGGTAAGCCCGCCAAAGGGAAATGCACTTCTTTCACCGGACAACCGAAACGAAAATGCCACAACAAGCGACCTTGCAGCTCGAAGAAAGTAGTCTCAGAAACGCCTACTCTTTGCCCCCGAAACTCTCGGAATTGCATCTTAGAAGACACTAATCCAAATGCAAAATTTATGCAGCGCACAACCACAGCCACAGTCAGAGCCACACAAGAACCAGACTCGGGGTGAGGCACTGAAAGCTCACCTTCCAGCGCTGAGCGCAGGCTGATCGGCGGCAGTTGCGAGGAGCTCCGAGCTCGCAAGAGCTCAAGGAGAAGCGAGGATGTACTAGGTTGATTGGAGTGGAGGAGGATGTGTGCTGGGGAGAGACGAGGGTGGGGTGGCGCTATAAAGCGGTGGGGCGAGGTGTCATGCGCTGTGGCTTGTGGCAAACCGCCCAGGAAAGGGACCTCGAGGGTCACCACCATAAGTTTGTTTGATTGCACTTGCATAAGTTTGTTTGATTGCACTTTGCATTGCATTGGCCACTTCAAGTGACCCTTTTCAGGTCCCAAGGGCTGCATGGCCATGGCCCCATTCGTGTCCTGCCCTGTACCTTTTCCCGGTCTCAGAAAATTGGGTACACAAGAAATAAAGAGCGCGTTTGGTGCAGCTCGCCCAGGCTCCGGCTCCGTGACTGTACAGGTCCTGTGGAGGAGCCGGGGAGCACAAAAAAACGCGGCTCCGGCTGCTGCTCCTCTTTTCCCGTTCATTTGTGCGGGAGCCGGAGCCATTTTTTTTGCTGCTACAGGGTATACAGTGTTGCGCAGTGCTACGCAAAGGAGCCGGAGCCGAACCAAACACGGCCAAAATCTTACAGCGTTGGCAACAACTAACAAGACACAGGGTGGCGATGGCAGTGAGAGGGAAATTGCTACCGTGTTTGGCTTTGTGCTCTGCTTTCTCCAACATGCACACCACATACCCACATCCCAGCCATTGCATCAGCGACAGTTGTAAATAAAATTTCATGGAACAAGACAGCACAAATTAGACCGTCAGGGGAGACTCCTATCTTAAGTAGGTGTAACGCTTTGAACCAGGGTCGGACGGGAGTTCCAACGACCATCTTAAGAAGCGACACAAGCATTCTTTAGTTGAAGTATAAAACCTAACTTCCCTTCAACCAAATATTTTCACTTGTTCCTCTAAAAAAAAATATTTTCACTTGTTCCTCTCTCTCTCTCTCAAAAAAAAAACACACTTCACTTGCTATCAAGTTGTTCAGTCAAACCAAATGTAGGTGGAGTACTGAAATCTCATATGTTATAGCAGAAGAGGAGCGGCTGAAATGTTAATTGACATACCCAACTGGTTAGCGTGGCGACAATACTATATATATTCCAGTTAGCGTCACTGTTCGCCCTTGGGCTGGTGCCTTGTGCACGTCTACCGATTAAAAAGCTCTTGTCGTGAGACTCGACTTTATTTTTGTGAAAGCAAAGCAGGCCAACAAAAATGAGCGAATGGAAGGACCAAACAGCAATATACTGCCAATAAATCCGCTGGACCCTCCTAGCTTGGTTGGGTTGTTGGCTGCAGCGCTGCACCCTCCACACAAGGAGCAAAGCAGCAATCGCACAACCACCAAAATTCCAGGATTTTCTTCTTTCTGCAAATGCTCGGAATGATTACTGCTGCTGTGTGTTGCCCCGGTCGATTTTTGGGGTGTAGGCCAATTGATTGGCTACTTTGATTGGACGGAAAGAAGTTCGACTTCTTCTGTCAAAGATCACGACGCCAACTGGATCGATGGGACCCAAGCGAGCGTGGATGCTCCTCTTGGATCGACGGCAGATGTCCAAGGAGTGTCTGGTGAGTAGCAGCAAGTCAGTGCTAACTAACATTCCAACTCTGGACCAATCGAGATCTAAAGAATCTAAAAAAAAAAACAAAAAGATATTAGTTTGTACTCTCTCCGTCCGGTAATACGAGAGATCCAGAGTTTAAATTTGTAACAAAATACAAGGTATTCTAGGCCATCAAGTCTTTCTCTAACTTAGAGTCAGTCAAAACAACCAACATTAAGTAAGAAAAATAGCAACTGAACTACACCCCCTATGCTAATTAGTGAGGGCAAGTTGGTCTTTTGTGTTTTTTTTAAACCAAGTTGGTCTTTTGTCAAACTCCTTGTCTGAAAATCATTTGAATCCCTTATATTCCACGACAGAGGGAGTATGATTTACGGAGAAAATTGTTTATTGAGCTTCGTGAGTGAATTATATAGAAGTACAACGTTTCTATTAGGGATAAATAGCCTTCCTTATAGATAAGTCAAGTCAGCATTAGAAACGATCATAATCTATCACATTTGAAGAATCCCAAATGTCGTGGTTCGTAACCGCTGCTAGTCTTTAGGTGGTCGATATGTAGAACTTTGGTGGTTAACACTCAAGATACAAAAAGGGTGTATCTTGGTTCAAGCGTTGAGCCATACGTCTAGTAGAGAGATTTCGTGTTAGACTCTTTGAGACTTTACTATGGGGGGTAGGAGAGTGTAGAGCTAGTTCTCTAATGGTGGGTCTACTGCCCTTTGATCTATCGCCCGTAAGGCACCCGCCCCTTAGCCCTGTCGCACTATGGCTCAGAATTCTACGAAGGATGATGCATGGCCTCGTGCGCTCGGCTCCCCCTCAGGTGGTGAGACTAACGTGGGCATTCTTTGTTGTGTTTTCTTATGCCTCATATGTGCTTAACTCATATTTCTATCGCCAATATTTAAACAAAATAAAACAAATATGAATACCAAAACTTAGAATTATGGTTTACAACTCATATTTTCCACGAGTTTTGGTATATACATGTTTTATAGGACAACACGTGAAAATACACCAAAATGCTTAACCGAGAAGACGATTCAAGCAAAACAATAAGCAAAGCCCATCCAAACTTCATACTTGGGCCGTAACACCCGTGAGGGAGCCATCTAGGCTCAGACCAAAGAACCCACCCGAGCAAAGCAAGGCAAGTGGGCAAGTGGGCTGGCCCAGGTGCAAGCGCACCACCCCAGCTCCGCTTCGGCCCCCCACCTTGCTTAGGCAAAGGCATTCAATGCTTGGGAGGCAGGTTGCATGTGGTGCTTTCCTAAAATACACGAGCAAACCATCATACTCAAGCTATAAAAGGAGGCCCCTCTTCACATTTGAGAATCACCATACACATTGAAGAAGAAGAAGAGCTACACACATTCCATTTGCTTCTAGCTAGACTAGAGTAGGGGAGGGCGAGGAAAGAGTTAGAGGAATAGCGGAGTAGAAGGTCTTTGAAAGGTCCTAATGGCTGAGGGGGGATAAATAGCCTATTAAAAATTTTACAACAATACTTAGCAAACCGGTTAGACAAATATGAGATTTAAGCGTAGTGTTGCGCTAGCCTACAAAAAATGCAAGCCACCTACAACAATTCTAGTTTCTATAGTCTCTATCCACATAATGGCTATGTCACTACACTAAGTTAGTATGCTCTCAAAGGCTAACTAAAGAGCCACACTAATCAAACTAACAAGCTCTCACAACTAGCTACACTAAAGAGCTTGACAACTAGGTTACGGTAATATAAAGAGAGAGAGCAAAATGTTTATACTGCCGAGTCGGAGAATGAACCAATCAATCACAAGAATGAATACCAATGAAGACCAATCACCTCGGAATCAAATGATGACACAATGATTTTTTACCGAGGTTCACTTGCTTGCCGGCAAGCTAGTCCTCGTTGTGGTGATTCACTCACTTGGAGGTTCACGTGCTAATTGGCATCACACGCCAAACCCTCAATAGGGTGCCGCACAACCAACACAAGATAAGGATCACACAAGCCACGAGCAATTCACTAGAGTACCTTTTGGCTCTCCACCGGGGAAAGGTCAAGAACCCCTCACAATCACCATGATCGGAGCCGGAGACAATCACCAACCTCCGCTTGACGATTCTCGCTGCTCCAAGCCGTCTAGGTGGCGGCAACCACCAAGAGTAACAAGCGAATCCCGCAGTGAAACACGAACACCAAGTGCCTCTAGATGCAAACACTCAAGCAACGCACTTGGATTCACTCCCAATCTCACAAAGATGATGAATCAATGATGGAGATGAGTGGGAGGGCTTTGGTTAAGCTCACAAGGTTGCTATGTCAATGCAAATGGCCAAGAGAGTGAGCTTGAGCCGTCCATAGGGCTTAAATAGAGAGCCCCCATGAATAGAGCAGTTGGCTCCTCTATCCAGTGAAACACGGGCTGACCGGACGTGCCGGTCAGGTTGACCGGACATAGGACCCCAGCGTCCGATCGCCCGATGCTCGCCACGTGTCATCAGCCTCAAATACTGAGCGCCCGATCTTAATGGCTAGTCTACTTCATGCCATGTGTTAAGTTGCGACCGGACGCACTGCTTAAAGTGACCGGACGCTCCATCACTAGAGGCCGGTCATTTCCAATAAGGTTCCAAAGAGGCAAAATCACGACCAAATGCGTCCGGTCAACCATGACTGGATGCGCTGGTGCATCTGCTCCTCCTCCTCTTCTCTGCGCGCCACCATGTCAGCAGGACTAGACGCTGAACAGTGTTCAGCCAGAGTCCGGTCACCTACGTCCGGTCTTAGGTCGAGAGTAGCTCGAGCACACCACTGATTTTATAAATGACCGAACGCTGCTCCTCCAAGTCCGGTCACCACGTGACCGGCGTCCGGTCACTGTTTTTCAGAGACTATCACCTCCTTCACTTCACCAACTTCTCCACCCTTGCTCAAATATGCCAACCACAAAGTGTATCACCTTGTGCACATGTGTTAGCATATTTTTCACAAATGTTTTCAAGGGTGTTAGCACTCCACTAGATCCTAAATGCATATACAATGAGTTAGAGCATCTAGTGGCACTTTTATAACCACATTTCGATCTGAGTTTCACTCCTCTTAATAGTACGACTATCGATCCTAAATGTGATCACACTCGCTAAGTGTCTCGATCACTAAACCGAAAAGCTCCTATCAATTTCACCTTTGCCTTGAGCTTTTTGTTTTTCTCTTCCTTCTTTTTCCAAGTCCTAGCACTTTATCATCACCATGGCATCACCATCATCATGATCTTCACTGTTGCTTCATCACTTGGAATAGTGCTACCTATCTCATAATCACTTTGATAAACTAGGTTAGCACTTAGGGTTTCATCAATTCACCAAAACCAAACTAGAGCTTTCAGGTGCCCTCTACTTCTTGTACTCAAAGAAGCCTTGTACATCGTGTGGATGGAGTGTCGGACTTGTCGGCCCCCTCTACACTTGTACCTCTATGTTCGTCTTACTACTTGGAGTAAGAAGTTCGTGTTCATCTTTTGGTTTGATCCCTTAAGTAAAAGTTATCATTGTTACTACTTACTTGCTGGTTCGTCATCCATCCTCGTGATGGGTGCTCTAGTAGAGGACTCCTAATAAAGATGGAAGTTCCTGGCCAACGCTAGAGTAGTGACCGATAGCGTAGACATGGTGTCTAAGCTAAAAGTCACCTTCGTTTGCCTCGTATCCTCCGGTTGAGGGGTAGG